CAAAATATGAAGTGGTTCCATTCCAGTTAAGAGGAATCAGCTTGAATAATTCGGACGCAAAGGAAGAAGAAGCTATTGGGGGTGAGAGAGGATGGGAAGAAGAGCTGTGTGAGGAAGACGATAAAGGACGCATAACCTGTCTCGAGTTTTTCAACAAATCTACAAAACCATACCCATATACTCCTAGTCTCCTGGGTCTCTAGGGTCTCTTCATGCTCAGGCCCGTCTAGGGGTCCATGGAGGTGACAACTTGTTGTCCATCTGTCTGGCCAACTTGAAGTCTCCTCTTGTCCGTTTAGATCGTCTTCGTCTCCAGCCCGGCTTCCACCCCTCCCGCCCGGCCTACCAGTCCAAGGCCTGCCGTCTAGCTCATATTCGGCCGGAAAGATCGCATAGGTCACAGCGGCACAGGTCGCGGCTGATATACCTTCACAAAAATGCATATATGCATGGGCGACACCAGGACAGCACACTCAGATAGACTTGTAGATATGCGCCCAAGCATTTACCTGTAATCTGCAACATGCAACCTCTGGTTTGCAGACATGCCGACAGGCGGGCTGGATCAGGTGGGTTTTTTTGGACATGGCAACTGATAAGTTGCCGGCCGAAACGTCTCAGCTGCCCAATCACACGTATACTGTTGTGCATACACAAGAGAGAGGCTCAGGCAAGCAAACGCTTGGATATCCAACTTCAGGAAGTAGGATGGAAGTAGGAGTCTGGACTGACGACCTATCATAAGTCAGTAGATTTTCCGGTTGCTACTTAAATGGTCAGTGGACTGTAAATATGCGACTCAAACGGAGAGCACTTGATCGAGCCGAGAGGGGAAGAAGAGATTGCCATTTGTGTCCTGTTCTGTCTTGTTCTGTCTCTGCAGCCTTGTCCCTTTTAACTCTCAACAGCTCGCGTCACCAGCGCGCCCAGTGATTATGGAAATCGGTGACTGTATCGCCTTGGCAGGGCAGAAGACCGCTCTTTTGTACTTGTCGGCTCAGACACTCAGTTCCCTTCAAGGTTCGACAGTCCCCAATCTGCTTTGGTCCGGCTAGCCGGGCTCATCGCCTCACCTTCAGTTCCTACACCCAACCCCTCCTCATTCTGCTCCTTAGGCCTGCTGTCCATTCAAGTTTTCCATGCACACAAACACAAACACACACACACACGCATACACACATGCATACATGCATACAAACATGCATAAAATCAAATAAAAAAATGCTTATAACATATGCATATCTGCATACGCGTACATGATTTCGGCCTGCCTCTTCATGCCTGTTAGAACTAATATATCTCCTCCACCTGGCGTCTTTCCATTGCATGATTTTGTAACCATGTCCCATTACGACAGAAAGGTGGCCGAAAACTTGAAGAACCCGGAGGAGAGGGAGAGAGAATACAAAGAAGAGGAGCGAGGTGATAATTCAGCATGAAGCAGGGGACTAGACGGTTGCTGACACAATGGAGCTCTACGTACAAGTTGGCATGCTCCAAAGTAAATGCCATCATGAGGCCTTGTGCGAAAATGACTGTGAAACGGATGAGGGGAGGACTCAGCTAATAATAAATAAGTTTTCAAATCATGTGTACTTTTTGAGGGAAAACTCGTTTAGTCTAATTCATTTAATGAGATGTATTCACCCTATTTCGTGTAAGGTGATGAAGGACTGGTAGTAGAATTTTC